ATCAGGGTCGCTCAGTCTGCTGCCAGACCACAGCTCTGTGTGTCTCCTTTTTTGGTATTTTCACACAAATTCTTCTGCTAGTTGGGGTTTAGTCCACTTTTGTATCCTTCCCTTCAAGGCTCAGGGGTCCAAGATTATCTTCTGTGTCTGTGTTCATTGGTTTCCCTTTTCTTCCTTGAAGAGCTTCTGTGCAGTCCTTGTGCCTAGTCCGCCATCTTGCCGGAACTCCCCCTTGGGCATTCTTGCCTCTTATTTCTAAAGGGCATTTCAAACCACTTTGGAAAGTAGAACAAATGTGTTAGAAATGTTGTGAACTTATAGGAAAAAGGGAGCATCTAACCTCAAATCAATAATAATAATAATATATAGTACCTCCTTCAGAATTTTTATAACTTCAAAATATTGGAACGTCAAATCACATACTCTTGGTCTGCAGGCTAATTGACTAATTACAGAAGAGGAAATAGGAAGAGAAAAGGAAAAATTAAGACTTTTGAATAAATGCATTGCTTTGGCTCACATGCTTTTGCACATCTTGTCAAGAAAAATTACTTGAGTTTGCCTTCTTACTTTTTTTTTTAAATGCCTTTGCTGAAGAATCTGCTAATCATTATTGTTTCTCCCAACGTCTTCTCCACTCTCCTGTTTCCTTTTAGTATCTTTTTGCCACTTACATTGCTCCTTCAGCCACTCTTGACGTTGGACTCCAACAGGAAAAGAAGAAAGAAATTTATATGAAAATACAGCCACCATTTGAAGACCTCTTTGACTCAGCTGAAGAATATATCCTTCTTCTCCTTCTTGAGCCCTGGGCAAAGATGGTGAAAACAGACCAAATAGCTTATAGAAAGGTATTGCAGCACTGATAAAATTTATGTGAACTATCCAGGTTTACTGCAAAATTGATGATTAGTGGCATTGTTAACTCACAAGAGAAAAATGGAAAAGGGTCTTTATATAAGCCAGAGATTCAGAATTAAGATTTGGCCAAGCTCAACATTTGGGGGAGAATGTTTTTATTGACATTATTTTATTTTATTTTTTTTTTGTCAGTTTCCCAGCTAAATCCTAACAAAAGATTTTATTCTATGTCATTTTTAGTTTTCTTTGCAAATATGTCAGAAGAGAGATATCTTTTTGTTTCCTGTGAACCAGCAAAATATGCCATGATAATATACTGGCCTGGTCCCTTCTAGCCAGTTTTCAGCAATGGCCTTAATTTTGATTAATGGAAAAAGCCTATTCTGTCTTATGTTGGATGAGCTACAGTAAATATTACACTCATGGAAAATATAAACGTTTCATATGTATTGTGAAAAGCAGATCCGCTGACTTCAGTGCTGCTATTTTAAAGCACCCCCAGATGTTCGTCAGGTCAGAGTGCTTGATTGGATAAAAATTTCAACACATCTTTTTTCATTCTGAAAGAGATCATTTTAAGCCTCAATACTTGAATATTTTCATTATTCTTATTGATGGGTGGAGGAAATTTCTTTAAATATTTATTTTGAATTACAAATTAAAACCATCCATGGGTATTTTTTATATTAAGTGAATGCACGCACCCTGTGCATGATGTCATTTCAGGTGGAACTCCCTGTCTTTGGATTGCTATTGTTTGTTCATATCTGCTCAGAGACTTCTTAGATAGGCATGTCTTCCACCGGAAAGGATAACTTAGATAATTAAGAGAAAATTAATACCAAAACATTGTGCATGGAGCTTACCTTAAGACTGTGGCTGAAATATCTCTTGGGGTTTACCAAATTCAAAGACCAAAGTAATTACATTTTCATTCCTGAATTCCCTTTGTCCTGAAAAGTTAATATCACATCCTTTCTACTTCAAAACTGCATATATTATACTAGGAAAATTAGAATGTCATGTGAAATTTAAAAATATTCCTCCCGGTTATTATTTTAAATATAGTTTATGATACAGAGAAAAGTGGTCCTGAGATAGTTCAAAATAAGAAAAAAGATTTGGAATTATAACTAACTTTCCTAACCAAAAATGTTATAAAATGGACTTTTTCCTTTTTAATGATAAGAGGAAAGATAAGCTGCTTTCTTCTACAAACTTCCTTAAATTCAGCCCAGAGAACTACTTTAAAGGCCTGATGACTGAATTATATAGACTATTTCCCAAATGAGATGGCCAAACAGATTACCAGAGCTAGCTATTAAATACAGAAAGTTCTCAAGCAGCTGATCGGCTAACCTGGTTTTTCCCTGCATTAGAGAAATGGTCTGTATTGCAAAATACTTGCTTTCCTGACAAGTTCCTAAAGGCCGAGACTTGCTGTAAGGTTTAATTTGATGAGTGACTCCTCTATTGCTGTAGCAGTGAAGTCTTTGCTTACAGACCAATACAGGATCTGGTAATTTCTTTTTCTTCTATAGATTAGTGTCCCAAAAGCTAGCAATGCCTGTCTTCATGACTATTTTCCTGTAATCATGAATAGAAATTAGAACTGTGACCAACCTATTTGTTTTGTATCTGTGCTAGAAAAAAGTGTGATTTTTGGTGGTACTGTATCATTACATAGAAATGTGTGGGTTTTTTTATTGTATACATTCAAAGTCTGATTTGTTGAAGCTAATGTTTTTAACTATGTTGATATTCCTACTTTTGTCTCCAAAATAATTTGCTCTATTGGCAAAGATATTTGTTTCTTAGCCCACTGTTACTGGCAACTTGTGCATTCCATTCCTCACTTTTTCATAATGTACAGTCTATTGATGTTATAAGCGTTATTGTTGTTTTATTAGGTGGAGCTGGTGGAAGAAACTCGACAGCTGGACTCCACATACTTCAGAAAGCTTCAGGCTTTGCACAAAGAGACATTTTCCAAGAAAGCTGGAGTAAGACAACTCCCTGCTTAAAAAAACTTTTTATCCTGGAGATAGTTACTGCTTCATATGATGGGGGAGGACAGAATGTATTGATAAAGTAGTGGGATAGGCATTCTCATTTTTTTGTTGTTGTTCCTTTGCCTGGCCTGCTGCATTTCACAGGTGTCATGTTTTATTGCCACATTTACCAGAGCTAGAAAAACAAACCCTACCAGGTAGCCCAGGGAGCCACGCCACTCATTGCCATAGGACCAGAAACTCAAGCTTTAAGCCATATTGTATCCCTGTTAATGTTATTGGTTGTTTTCTGAGTGGCAGCAGTTCTTTCTTTGTGGTCAGGGCACAAAAGAGTTAAATGGAGTTTTCTGAACAGAAAAGAACTATTTGTTCTTTTTGGTAAAAATAGTAAAAAAAAAATGGAAAGGAACTGAGGAAGAGAGTAAAAAGATCTTATGATTGACTATGATATTAAAGTGTTATTTTTATTTCTAAATTTATAGCTTTTGGAATGGTGAATTAAGCCATGGTAGATCTGTAACATGAAATGTATGCATCTACATAAAAATGACAGTTTAGATTTGTATTTATCGACATGGAAAATGTCCAAGGCATTATTATCTAAAAATATGTTGGTTGTTGTTATGTTGAGTCTGACCCAACTCATAGCAACCCCTCCTTGGGTTTCTGAGGCGGTATCACTACGGAAGTAGATTGCCCAACCTTCTTTCCGAGGAGTGGCTGGTGGGTTTGAACCGCTAGCCTTCTGGTTAGCAGTCAAGTGCCTTAGGCACTACGCTACCAGAGCTCCCATCTAAAAATATCGAGAACAAAAACATTAGTATGCTATGATTCTATTTATGTCAAATGATATATGTATTTCTATGTGTGTGTGTGTGTGTGTGTATATATATATATGTATATATATATATGAGCAGAGAGAGATATCTGAAAACATGGTTATCAAGTATTAAAGATAGTGATGAGGTTTCAGATAGTTTTTTGCTTTCTTTTTTGTACTTTCCTTAAATTTTTATGCTTTTACAATCAGTTTCACAAAAACAATAAAGTGATTTTTTATAATGTAACTTTTACAATAGTTGTCTTAGTACAGAAGCTCTCATTTGAAACACTATTAATTAATATCTTAGAAAAGATATGTAAAAATTCATCAGGATAGCACATTTTAAAGTTTTATTATAAACTTTACGAACTAAAATTTCTAACATTCTCTATAATCCTTCTTCCTTAAAAAAATTGATTTTTAAAAAATTGCTATTTTTTTCTCATGGTCTGAGGTCTTTTAAAAAATAGAAAATTAGTTAATGATATAGGGAATTATGTAAGGAAGGGCTTTTTAAAGAATTAGCCTCTTTAGCACTTTGCATTTTAGGCTATTTTACAGAGATCTTGAAAATACCAAAATATTAGCTTTTATGTAAAAGAGATTACTTTTGAAGAATCACAATTAAAGCAATATTTTACATTGCCCTATAACTTTTACAAGCACACTATAGATATAAGAATGTTTTATATTAGTGATAAAGTGTTAAGGGAAAGAAGCAGGTAACGGAACCACACATTACATGTATAATCCTCTTTATTGTTAGTAAAGTACATGTATGTATAAAAAAAGACTAGAAGGATATATACCAAAATTTTAATGGTGGTTTTTTATTTTCTTCCTATTTTTCTTTTTTACTAAAAACACTAATTTTCTACTAAAAATAATAAAATTAATATTTTATAAATACATGCTTTATATATAATAGATGTTTATAAATGTTCATGAAAAGAAGTGAATGGAATGGAAAGGAACAGAATGGTATTAGTTAGAACATGAACCACCTAGATTCTTAAACTAGTTCTTAAATGACCTTGGCCTAATAATTAATTTTTATTTTAGTTTTTCTATTTAGAAATAGGGGGAAAATATCACATTTAAGAGGTTTTTATGAAAAACATTGTCTTACTCTAGGACACCACTTCTGAAGTTGGAATTGGTATTTCACCACTCCCTGATGTCTGTAAACAAACAGAATATTGGAATAATGTTCCTGCAGAATATAGGCATTTTCATTTTAATGATCTGCTTAACAACAAGCTGGAGTTTGAACATTTCTGTCAGTTTCTTGAGGCTCATTCTTCAAGGTGAGTAACAACCATTTTTAAGTGTATTTTGTTTTTAAAAGGTAATTTTTCTAAGCTACTGGTCTTGATTCAACATATTATTATAATGATTAGGTGCTAAATTATATCCAAGTCAGTAAAAACTGCTAAGCATAATTGTCTGAAATCTGTGTGAGTAACTTTTTGTTATGAAGTGTTATTTTATTGTAGCAAAGTTCAAAATGTTATGCTGAGGGTTTGAACAATATTGGTTGATTCTATTAGTATTGTCTAACTTGAAACATCAGTAAACTTTATTCTTCCCTTTTTCCCTTTTCTGCTGTTTTTTTCTTTTGCATTTCTCTAGATAGGTGCTTTTGTGATTATTTCTAGAAGTGTCTCTTCTATGTTTAGTAACATAGTTATACACTATTAGAATTAATATTGTGCAATTTTTATTAACTGATACTTAAACATGGCAGTTTTACACAGAATCTTGGAAACTTATGATATATTTATCTCATATTAACTGAAATATTTATTATACTTTTTTCCTTTTAATTTTCTCCCAAGTTAACAGAAACTGGTTTTACATCTGAGAGCCAAATTTCATTGTGATAATTTTATGTGTATATAAAAGTTCTCTTTTTTGTGATAAGGGTTATTCTAAATTTAGCATGTTAGGAATGGATATTTTCCCATATTTGAAATTGACAGTACTAGTCCATCAGTAATGGAAGAACTCTGAGACCCTTCTACTGTTGATAATAGTTTTTTTTCTGATCCCCAGTACTCCTTGTCATCATTCATTATATTTACCCAGGATGAGGGTTATAATAGGATCGAGTTAACTAGACTAGAAAGGGATTAGAGCCATAATATTATACTCATTAGTGATCTATTCAGTTGTACTAATTAGTCAAGACAACCACCTTATGAGTTTTGTCAAAACAACAAGTTGGTTGCTGTTTAATAAAGTTGAGAGAAATAAATAAGAAGGGCAATATTTTGTTTCTGTTTTTATTTTAGCATGGACCTTAAGTGCTGGACAGACATTGAGCAGTTCCAAAGAATACCTTTCAGAGATCGAAATCAAAGAGAAGCAAAATCTATATATATAAAAAACAAATACTTAAATAAAAAATATTTCTTTGGACCCAACAGTCCAGCTTCTTTATATCAACAGGACAAGGTATCAACGTGGAAACATATTTTCTATATTGAAATATGAAAATAAGTTAGTTTATTTATTTTTGCCAATAACCTAAAGAAAGACTATGAATGTCAGATTAGTATCCAGCAGTGAGTTTGCGTGCTTATGTAACACTTATATCTCTTAAAATATAGCTGAATTTTTATACCTTTGAAATATGAAAAATTAAGAATTATTAATTTAGTTTGAAGTTTGTTAATACTGCATTACTACTTTAAAGATTAAATGTATAGCATATGATTTTTGTTTTGATGGCTTGAAAGGATATATATCCTAATTGCATACATTTGTACAATACTTATTTCAGATTAATTTTAAGTTCAATAAATTAAAGAAAAATTCTGAGATCTTCACAAGTAGAATATACCAAATTGAAAAAGAACTAGATTTTTGGCAAGGTAAGGAGGAATAAGTAAAAGTCTTTGAGAGTAAGAGGAAGGAGAAATTCTAAAATTAAGCAATGTTGACCAAAATGCTTTGCCCTTAGTTCCCTGAGATGCAAATCTGGGATCCATTAGCAAAAGTGGCTGGATATCCTAATAAGCACAAGTATGAAATAAACACATGGAAAGCATTTGTTTTCTATTTGGCTTGGGCTATGTTGCGTGAGGTTTCATGGTATCTGATGCTACTGTGTGAACCCTCCAACATGCTGAGAATTGAAAATTCCCTTAAAAAGTTACCCATTGCTATCATAGCAAGTGGTTGTGTTTACCACAGATGAGTCATCCCAAGAACTTTCTTCCTCATCTTTGTCTTTACTTTTATTTTTGGTATTTTCCATTTAAGGACTCCTTTGTAACATTAAGTTTTAGGAACATCATGCTAGTCCTAATTTAAGTTACGGAGCCAGAACTGATTAACAAGGTAGTAATTTTCCTTTTTATACAACAATTACTACCTTGTTAATCAGTTCTGTCATTACTTGACTAATATTATTAATCAAAGGAGGGCTAATAAGAGGTTTCTCTTTTGTTTTTATTAAAAAAAAAAAAATAATAGTGGTAGTAGTATTTTATTAGTGTTATTAATCAAAAGAGGCCTAAGAAGAATTTGTTTGTTTCTGTGAACAATCTAAAATATTAGACCTAGATGAGAACTTAGAAAGCAAATGGACTAATGTACTTATTTTACAATGATGGTACTGAGGCCAGGGATCACAAATGCCATTGCTTGTGGTAATCCACTCCTGTATTCTTTTCAGTATGTCATCAGTAAGCATACTCACACATCTTAAACAATTGCCACGTAAATCACAATTCTTGGATGTTTGGGAAATCGACTGTCATTAACTCTGCACAATATAGGCAGGAGACTGTACAGAATTTAAAAATCATGGCACCTGTCAGTTGTTCAATAAATGGCTGGAGGTGAATGAATTAATTAATGAGTATTAGTATTTCTCTACCAAAGAAGAAGTTTGTGGTTTCTGTTTCATTTTTATCTTAGATAATGCAGCTAAGTGGTGGATGGGGAAAAATTCTGCATGAGCAACTTGAAGCACCTGTTCTACTTGAAATTCAAAAGCATGTCCGAAATAGGCTAGAAAATGTGTGGTTGCCAATGTTCCTTGCAAGTGAACAATTTGCAGCACGTCAAAAGATAAAGGTATATACATTAATATAATCTTTGGATAGAAGTTGGCAGTACCTATCAAAACATCAATGGTGCATACCTGTTGATCTACTGATTGTGCTTCTATGGTATAGTTAAGAACATGTGTTCAGACTTCCCAAATTCTAATCTCAACACTGTTGTTGTTGTTAGGTGCCATCAATTCGTCTCCAACTCATAGCGAATCCATGTACAGCAGAACAAAACACTGCCCAGTCCTGTGCCAGCCTCACTATCCCTGCTAAACCTGAGCCCATCATTGCAGCCATTGTTTCAGTCCATCTTGTTGAGGGCCTTCCCCTTTTTCATTGACCCACCACTTTATCAAGCATGATATCCTTCTCCAGGGAATGGTTTCCTTCTGACAACATCACCAAAGTAGGTGAGACAAAGTTTGGCCATTCTCGTTTCCAAGGAGCATTCCAGCTGCATTTCTTCCAGGACAGATTTGTTAGTTCTTTTAGCAGTCTGTGGTACTTTCAGCATTCTTTACTAACACCACAACTCAAAAGCATCAACTCTTCTGCAGTCTCCCTTATTTGTTGTCCAGCTCTCATATGCATATGAGGCTGTTGAAAATACCATGGCTTGGGTTAGGCACACCTTAGTCTTAAGGGAGACATCTTTGCTCTTCATCATTTGAAAGAGGTCTTTTGCAGCAGATTTGCCCAATGCAGTACATAATGATGTCTTGAGTGCTGCTTCCATTGGTGTTTATTGTAGAACCAAATAACATTAAGTCTTTAACAACTTCAATCTTTTCTCCATTTATCATGATCATGTTTATTGGTCCAGTTGTGAGGATTTTTGTATTTTTTTATATTGTGGTGTAATTCGTGCTGCAGACGGTAGTCTTTCATCTTCATCAGTAAGTGCTTGAAGTCATCTTCACTTTCAGCAAGCAAAGTATGTCGTCTGCATATTGCAAGTTGTTAATTGAGTCTTCCTCCAATCCTGATGCCATGTTCTTCTTCATATAATCCAGCTTCTCAGATTATTTTCTCAGCATATAGATTGAATAAGTATGGTGAAAGGATATAACCGTGATGCACTCCCTTCTTGATTTTAAACCATGCAGTATCCCCTTGTTCTATTCAAACAACAGGCTCCAGGTCTATGTACAAGTCCCTCATGAGCAAAATTAAGTGTTCGGGAATTCCCATTCTTTTCATTGTTATCCACAATTTGTTATGATACACACAATTGAATGCTTTTGCATAGTCAATAAAACACAAGTAAACATCTTTCTGGTGTTCTTTGCTTTCAGCCAAGATCCATCTGACATCAGCAATGATATCCATCGTTCCACATCCTTTTCTGAATCCAGCTTGCACCTCTGGAAGTTCTCTGTCAATATTCTGCTGCAACCATTTTTGAATTATCTTTCAGTAATATTTTACTTGCATGTAATATTAATGATAATGCTCGATAATTTCCACATTGTGTGGGATCACCTTTCTTTGGAATGGGTACAAATATGGATCTCTTCCAGTCAGTTGGCCATGTACCTCTCTGCCAAATCTCTTGGCATAGCCAAGTGAGTGCCTCTGGCAGGGCGTCCATTTGTTGAAACATCTCAATGGGTATTCTGTCAATTCCTGGAGGCTTGTTCTGCACCAATTCCTTCAGTGCAGCTTTGACTTCTTCCTTCAGTATCATTGGTTCTTGATCATATGCCACCTCCTGAAATGGATGAACATCAACCAATTCTTTTTGGCACAGTGACTCTGTGTATTCCTTCCATTGTCTTTTGATGTTTCCTGCATCGTTCAATATTTTGCCCATAGAATCTTGCAGTATTGCAACTCCAGGCTTAAATTTTTTCCTGAATTCTTTCAGCTTGAGCAATGCTGAGTGTGTTCTTTCATTTTGATTTTCTAACTCCAGGTCTTTGCACATTTCATTATAATAATTGACTTTGTCTTCTCTAGCTGCTCTTTGAAATCTTCTGTTCAACTCTTTTATTTTGTCGTTTCTTCCATTTGCTTTAGCTATTCTCCATTCAAGGGCAAGTTTCAGAGTCTCTTCCGACATCCATTTTTGTCTTTTCTTTCTTTCCTGTCTTTTAATGACCTTTTGCTTTCTTCATGTATGATGTTCTTGATGTCATCCCACAATTCCTCTGGCTTTCAGTCATTAGTGTTCAATGCATCAAATCTGTTCTTTAGATGGTCTCTAAATTCGGGAGAGCTATATAATCAAGGTCATATTTTGGCTCTCGTGGCCTTCTTTTAATCATCTTCAGCTTCAGCTTGAACTTGCATATGGCACTTGATGGTCTGTTCCACAATCAGCTCCTGGCCTTGTTTTGGCTGAAGATACTGAGCTTTTCCATCTCCTCTTGCCACAGATGTAGTCAGTCTGATCCCTGTGTACTCCATCTGGTGAAGTCCACGTGTATAGCCGCTGCTTGTGTTGTTGAAAAAAGGTATTTGCAATGAGTAAGTCGTTGGTCTTGCAAAATTCTATCATGTGATCTACAGCGCTATTTCTATCACCAAGGCCATGTTTTCCAACTACCAGTGATTCTTCTTTATTGCCTCCTTTTGCATTTGAATCACCAGTGATAATCAACCCATCCTGATTGCATGTTTGGTCAATTTCAGACTGCAGAAGTTGGTAAAAATCTTCAATTTCCTCATCTTTGGCAATTAACCAAAAAAACACAAACTCATTGCTGTCGAGTGAGATCTAACTCATAGCAACCCCTCCTTGGGTTTCTGAGGCAGTATCACTACGGAAGTAGATTGCCCAACCTTCCTTCCTGGGAGTGGGTTTGAGCTGCCAGCCTTCTGGTTAGCAGTCAAATGCCTTAGGCACTGTGCCACCAGAGCTACTGGCATTGGTGGTTAGTGCATAAATTTGAATAATAGTAGTATTAACTGGTCTTCCTTATAGGCATATGAATATTATCCTATCATTGACAGCATTGTACTTCAGGATAGATCTTGAAACATTTTTTTGTGGTGATGAATGCCACGCCATTCCTCTTCAATTTGTCATTCCCATCATATGGCTGTCTGATTCAAAATGGCCAAAACCAGTCCATTTTAGCTTACTAATGCCTAGGATATCAATCTTTATGTGTTCCATTTCATTTTTGACAACGTCCAGTTTTCCTAGATTCATGCTTCATACATTCCATGTTCTGATTATTATTGGATGTTTGCAGCTGTTTCTTTTCATTTCGAATTGTGCCACATCAGCAATTAGAGGTCCTGAAAGCTTTACTCCATCTATATCATTAAGGTCGGCTCTACTCTGAGGAGGCAGCCCTCCCCCAGTCAACACTACTACATATTAATTGTACATCCTAAAGTTTTGTATTCTTAGTTTCCTCATTGGAAAAATTGGACTTACAATAGTAGCTGCTTCATAAGATTAGTGTGAAAATGAAATGAAGTGATACATGTTTAGTTTCTTAGCATGCTGCCTGGCATATAGTAAACATTCAAATGATACATGTTAATATTGTTATTATTATTTATTTTATTTTTACTGAGTCCTCACACAAATTGGCAAAGATGTTCAAAGACATTCATTGCAATCTCATGTGGGGAAATAATTGAGTGAATTATGATAATTTCATACTATGAAGAACTGCAGATTTCCATCTAAAGTGAGATTATAAAAATGGAATTAAAATATAAAAATTAGATTTCCTATGTACTGATACGAGAGCTCTGGTAGCATAGTGCCTAAGGCACTGGATTGCTAACCAGAGGGCTGGTGGTTCAAACCCACCAGCCACTCCTCGGAAGGAAGATGGGGCAATCTACTTCCATAGTGATACTGCCTTGGCAACCCAAGGAGGGGTCGCTATGAGTCGGGTCCAACTTGATGGCACATAACAACAACAACAACATGTACTGATATGGAAGATTTTTTTGTCAATTGAAACAGTCAAGATGAATGACAGTATGTAGCTAATTATCCCATTTCATATGCTTATATTTCTGCATCTGTCTTCTGTCCAGTTTGGTCGGTTGGTCAGTCAGTTGGTTGGTCAGTCTGTCTGTCTGTCTATCTGTCTATCTATGTACCTATCTTTGTTTATGCATGATAAAAGATCTAAAAAGACCTGCTTCCTGGGGGTAGATTTGGGAAGTTTATTTGGGGATTTCTGCTTTGTAAGTTTTCCAATAACATATCAACAGCGTTTCACTGCTATTTATAAGGTTTTCACTGACCAATTCTTTGAGAAGTGAATGGCCCCTTCCTTCTTCCCGGCCTGTCTCAGTCTGGAAGCTCCACTGAAACCTGTCCACCATGGGTGACCCTGCTGGTGTTTGAAATACAGTGGCATGGCCTCTGTACAGCAGCACACAAGCCACCCCAGTGGGACAGACTGACGGGTGAGTGGTGGGTTGTACCCTTTCCCCACACTTATTTAATCTTTATAATGAGCAAATAATCTGAGAAGCTGGACTACATAAAGAAGAACGTGGCATCAGGATCAGAGGAAGACTCATTAACAATGTGTGATATGCATATGACACACCCTGGCTTACTGACAGTGAAGATGACTTGAAGCACTTACTGTCAAAAATTAAAGACTATAGTCTGCAGTGTGGATTACAACTCACTATAAAGAAAGCAATAATCCTCACAAATGGACCGATAACCTGCATCGCTGTAAATGGAGAAAAGATTGAAGTTGTCAAATATTTCATTTTACTTTGATCCACAGTCAACATCCATGGGAAAAATAGTCAAGAAATCAGACAGCGTATTGCACTGGGAAAATTAGCGCAAAAGACCTCTTTAAAGTACTGAAGAGCAAAGATGACACTTTGAAGACTAAGCTGTGCCTAAGCCAAGTCATGGTATTTCCACTGACCTCATATGCATGTGAAAGCTGACAATGAATAAGGAAGACTGAAAAAGAGTTGATGCTTTTGAATTGTGGTGTTGGTGAAGAATACTGAGAGTTCCATGGACTGCCAGAAGGACAAACAGATCTGTCCTGGAAGAAGGGCAGTCAGCATGCTCCTTGGAAGTAAGAATGGCCAGACTTCGTCTCACCTACTTTGGTCATGTTGTCAGAAGGAACCATTCCCTGGTGGATATCATGCTTGGTAAAGTGAGGGGTCAATGAAAAAGGGGAAGACCTTCAACAAGATGGATTGAAACAGTAACTGCAACGTGGGCTCAACTATAGTAAGGATTGTGAGGCTGGCACGTTACTGGGCAGTGTTTCATTCTGTTGTACATAGGGTTGCTATGAGTCGGAGCTGACTGGACAGCACCCAACAACAACAACTTTGTTAGTGGATTTTTAAAAATTTTTTTGCTTGTTTTATTTGATAAGAAACATATTTAAATAACTTAAAATGTCTTTATCACACTTAAAAAGAAGCAAATCTGATCTTTACTAAGATAACACAATAGGTAGAGAGCATGTAATTTTTGGACTTTAATATGCAAAGCCACATGCTGTTAGTATTGTTCAAGAGACACCTAAAAAAGCTGTCTTCTATATTTAACTTAACAAACACTTTATGGTCTATAGTCTGGCAATACCTTTAGTCTTAAACTTCTGAGCAACTTAAGTTATAGAAAACACAATACAGCTGGGAGCATAGAATTTATAGTATGGAGAAGTAGAGTTGTCTTTTTTAGGCCAAAAGTTCCTGTAAATAAGCCTTGGACAACTCAGATTTCCTCATTCCCTTTCTTTATTTCTCTATCCAAAGCCAAATAAAAGGATATGTGGCTTAATAATATTATTTACCACATTTTTTCACTATGTTTACTACAATAATTTTATTGTAACCTGCATTCATTTCTTGATTTAGCATTCTTTGAGTTGCCAGCAACATAAATGGATTCTGACTACCTTGAGCCAAAGATAAAAGGCAGCAGGAGAATTTATTATAAAATGATGCTAGGGCATCTCACAGACAGGGGAAGAGTTGACACTCAAGCTTTAGAAAGAGTGGGGGCCATGGTGGACTTGGGAACTCATCAAAAGACTCAGACCCAGTGTTTTTAGTTTATGTCTCTCTAGGTCTCTCCTGGATCTATCTGCTATACACAAGGAGGTAGAGTCAGATAGTATAGACGTGGCAGGATCTGCTTCCAAAAAGGGAAAATATGGTGAACAGACAATAGATGGTAATTATAAGAAATGCCTATCATAGATCTCCCACGTTGAATAAATTTTGTATTCTTGTAAAATAAAATGAGGAATTACATGGCAAAAAAAAAAAAAACAAGAAAGGCACAAAAATCTCAGAAGTCGTAACTATTTTGTCAGCCTCAGTTTTCGTATGACCCAGAGAGAAACTGTTTTCTCCATTTACGGCAATACAATCAGGTAGTAGTATCTCCATGTAGCAGATGTGGAAACTGTCAGGAGAATTTGAGTGACTTGCCCACACACCTGACCACAGGGCTTTCATTTCTAAGTCTGATCCTCCTTTTCCTAAACTGTGCTACTTCTTATCCAAGCTGAGTCCTTTAGCTCGTTTTCTTAGCTATTAGATTAGTAAATGATTTAAAAATTCTAGACATCCTGAGTAACTGGGATACAATAATTGGTTTTGCTTTTAGGTACAGATGAAAGATATAGCTGAAGAGCTCTTACTACAGAGACATGAAAGGAAAATCGGGGTCTGGAAGGCAAGTTGTATTTGTTATAGTCTTCCTCTTATAAGTTTCACTCTGTCAGAGGGTTGTTTTTCCTTTCCATTCTTATTCAGAGAATTTCACTGTCAACACTGCTTTCTAAGCCACCGTCTGACTTCTGATATCTCTGGAAATTATTCTTAATTGGCTGATGGAATTTGGGAAAAAGTGTGACTTTACCAGAGCCCTGTTCTCAAAGAGTGTTTTGACCTGCTCAGCCTTAGAAGCATGTGATTAGACTTTAAAGATGTATTTTGCATTACTCTGTTTGTGATGGATTTATTGAAACAAGCTGTTCATTCCAGCATATGGCAGTTTGTTTATTATTGAGAGTGGGTTACACAAAAAGAATGTAAAATATGCAGCAGAATCAGCTGGTTAAATCATCGTACATTATCCTTGTTGTTTAGAATTACATTTTAGTTTGAAAAGAACTAAGTTAACTATCATTTTGGTGATTATGAAAACCATTATAATATGATACTATACTGGAAATCACCTCTTTTGCTTCTTAACAACCATGATAAATATTTCAGCCTACAAGTTTATGTGTATTTATTCTTCCCAAAGTCTCAATAGAATATTAAATTAGATCTCGGTGACCCTCTGCAAACTAACAAAGAAATAGAAATTTTACTTGAATGTTAGAGGAATGTATGTATCTGTTAGGATGCTCTTTTCCTGTATTTTCCTCTCGAAAGGAAACATTTTTTTTCCCCCAAAGGAAACTTTTTAATGTTTATCTTTTTGTGTTATTTTTTTTTTTATTCAAACACTAAGGTAGGTCAGAGAGGCTTACATTTTATAATACTGTGCATTGTAATACTATTTTCTGTTTAGTTAAATTATAGGTTTTATTTAAATTACTAAGTTTTAGTATCTTAAGAAGCAGCTCTTAAAACATTATTTGCTGAGTGAGTTTTAAATAAACATCCCCGTCTGGTACCTAGTTGTTCCTGTTTAGGGTTGTAATTTTAATATGGACCGTATGGTGAGGTTCTTCACTTTTTATTCAGAGAACATGACTTTGCATCACTAAAATAGTGATAGACATCTACTAACCTGTCTTGCTTAAGGGCACCACCATTCACCTCCACTACCTGGAGGTGCCTTCATTTTTCAGTTTCCAACTCAGATGTCATCTTTCAAGTCCCTCTTCTGCAAAGCTTTAACTCCTCCAAGAGAAATTAGTTACTCCTTCTGTGTTCCCTTCAGGAGGTGCCACAGTGGTTAAATGCTTGGCTGCTAACCGAAAGCTCAGTGATTCAAACCCACCATCTGCTCCTAGTGGTGTTTCTAGTGGTGCTTCTGGTGGCATGGTGATCAAGCACCCATCTGCTAACTGAGAGGTCAGCAATTCAAACCCACTAGCCACCCCACAGGAGAACGATGTGGCCATCTGCTTCTGTAAAGATGACAGCTTTGGAAACCCAGTGGCGGTTCTTCTGTGTCCTGTGGGGTCACTATGAGTCAGAATTGAGTCTATGGCAATGGGTTGTTTCTTTTTTTTTTCCTTTGTGTTCCCTTGACACTTTTTTACGTAGCTCTCTTTAAACACTTATATTGACGGCCGCTTATAATTTGTTTATAGGAACTTATTTTGTATATTGTTAGTTTAAAATAAAAACCAAACCCTCTGCCATCAAGTTGATTTTGATTTAGCAGCCCTATAGGACAGAGTAGAACTGCCCCTCCTAGGATTTCCAAGGCTATACATCTTTACAGAAGCAAACTGCCCTACCTTTCTCCTGCAGATCAGCTGATGTGTTTGAGCTGTCAACCTTTTGGTTAGCAGCCCATGGCTTTAACCACTGTGCCACTAGAGCTCTTTATGTCATTGAAGAATTTTTTTTGTCATTAATGGGTATTTATTAAGCATTTTGATTATATCTTAATTCAATCTTCTGATAGAATCCTTAAATTCACCTAAAATATTGCCTTTATAATGATACTTTCTTGCATGATAGGCTAAAATCAGCTTTGGGAAATTCAGTAAAATTTACCCAGTTAAAAAATATCTACTTAGTAAATTCAATAAAATCTATTTCATATGTTTTTGAATTCTGAGAGACTAAAGAAAGAACATCAATGAATATGTGATTTTAAATGGTCAGTAAAGAAAGTAAACATTAGACATATTTTAAAATTGTGCAAATGTAATAAAATAAGTGTAAGTAAAAATACTTTTAACTAAAACACCGTGAGTACTCTGTCTTTTTTGTTATTTTACATAAATTCCTAGGCACAGGAAGTTTATTATTAAAGATAAATTATTATTATAAGTAATTATTGTTGCCATTATTATTAATTATTAATGCTAATTTATCACTAAACAATATGTTTGTGTTACCTATGACTTGATCTTTCCAGGACAGGATTAGCGTGACACTTTATACTAAATTTTTTATTTAATTATAGGATTAATTGGTAACTTTGTCTAAAAATAATGAAAAAATATTCAACTGTTTTACCTTCTAAAAGATAGGATAATCATACATTAATATATAATATGTACAGTAATTTAATAATATTTAATCCTAACTTTACAATTATTTTCTTCTGTTTAGGCACAGAACTCATACTTTGCACTAAAGACTAGTTTTTCGCCACAGTCCCAAGACTGCTAACATTCTTAAACAATATAGTCATCTGTTCTAAATCACGTCCAGTCATTTCTTTTTCTCTCTACCTCTTAAAAAATAATGCCTGCAAATTATAAAAGAGACAGAGGAAGAAAAGTTACCAAATTCTGTTATATCCATGCTGTAAATTTCAGGCATCAAATCCAAGGGGATAGAAGTTGGTAATTTTTAACCTAACTAATGACTTTACTATTACTTTTAGAACACAGCTAATTTTCTATTCTTTGTTTTGGACAGCCCGTAGAGAGTAAATGGATATCTTCATCTTGTGAAATCATTGCTTTCCGTAAAGCATTATTGAACCCAGTTACTGCAAGACAATTTCAGCGTTTTGTGGCTCTAAAAGGAGATTTATTGGAAAATGGAGTACTCTTTTGGCAGGAAGTACAAAAATATAAGGTACTGTATTGGAAACTGGATAAATAGTCCCTTCAAGGAAGAAATGTATTAATATCAGATTCTTAACTGTAACTTATGGACAAGATTTGTATAAGATATCCCAATTTTGCCATTGTCTTCATACCAATATATAAATATTGAAGTGTTTATTATTTCAGGTCTAGATATATTCATTATTTTACAGTGAATAGTAAGAGGAACTCTGAAATGATAGTATTAGGTTTTCCAGGGAGTCTCATATATTGTAATCTAATGAGAACCTTCCTCAAAAGTTTTAACTGTGTATGCATATCATCTATACGTACTATAAACTTTTTTTTCCTGAAGATATCCATATGTAGTTTCTGTGACTACAATCTACTTCCTTAGCGATACTGCCTCGGAAACCCAAGGAGGGGGGGTCGCTATGAGTTGGGTCCGACTCAACAGCACGTAACAACAACAACATTGGAAAACAGTATAATTTTATTTAAAATGTATATGTTTTGGATGGGGGGCTCACAGAAAAAATAGAATGATATATTCATTCAGCAGATATATATTGAGCACCTACTGCTGTTGTTATGTGCCACTGAGTCAGACCCGACTCATAATGACCCCTCCTTAGCACCTACTAGGCCAGGCTAAATCCTGAGGATATAACCATGATCAGGCAGATGTCTCTCTTAGAGGTGAGAGGTTCATGGGAGAAACAGACAAGTGATAGACAAGGCAGTTATAACATGTATGATTAGTACAATGATGGAGAAGGTACAAGATGCTAGGGATGTATGAGGTGCTCTGGTGGCATAGTGCCTGCGATGCTAGGGAAGTACTTAAAATGGACACCTTGTCTGGACTAAGAAAGTCACAGAAAGCTTACTAGAGGAAAGTATGCTTACCTGAGACCACAGTAATAGGTATTGTCTAGACTAATGGCCACAACAGGGCAGAACAATTGGGAAAAAATCAGTTGTGATTCCTTCTAAATTCTATCCTTTCATTCTCAAAATTAAAACTGAATGACTGCACAGATTTGCTTTCATTTCACCTCATATTCTATAATAAACCAGGCTTACCAGAAAATTATAAGTGATAATCCCATAAAGACCAGAAAAATGCATTTAGGTAACATACCAAATATACATAGTCTAAGCAGGCATTTCTGAGAAGGTGATGTTAAATTGAGTAAAAAGAGTTTGGAACAGTCACAATGTAACATTTATATTAAGATTTTTTTCACACATAACTTATACCAAACTATATGTAAAGTTTTGTATGGCAGCTGCTAGAATTTTTCTTTCTTTCATAGCGCCCATAAGACAGCTGTTACAACATCTAGAATACAATGGGTACTTAATAAATGTTGACTCATTTCAAACCTAGAATTAGAAGCTTCCAAACATGTTTGCTTTTTAGTGACTTAGAGAACAATGTGTCTGACAGGAAAATGCCATAATTCAAGCTGAGCTACCTCTTTATTTTAAAACATGAGAGAACTACACCTGTGACATAGAAACTGGGTTGTATTAATATATATAATCAGTATTTTTAAGTTTTTTGGATATAAAGAGGATAATGTGATGGGGTGACTGGAGATGCATAGTGACATACCTGTCACCACCAGCACTCCCGTTTCTAACCTTTGAGCCTAAATCACCTGTTGAGAAGCAGTTCTGGTTGGGAAGGTTCTTCCATCCATCTCTAAGCTAAGTGTCTCTTCTTAGCATTCTCCTAGACTGCAGCACTTGTTAACTATCCCAAATTAGAATAATTTGTTTTCACACTTGCTCCTCCACTAACGATTGAACCTTTAAAGGGTTATTTTGGGGCTTATTTCAGTGTCTGACAGATTGCAGATACTCAACATATATTTATTAAATTAGTCAAAGTAGATACTAAAAGAAACAATTAGAATTAAATGAAACCCAGGAGCTCTGGTGGTGTGGTGGTTAAGGCATTTGCCTGCTAACCAAAAGGTCAGTGGTTCAAACCCACCAGCTGCTCTGTGGAAGAAAGATGGGGCAGTCTGCTTCCATAAAGATCGGACACCCAGTGGAGGTTGCTATGAGTTGGAATCGACTGAATGGCAGTGAGCTTGGTCTGGTTTTTGGTAGTTACGTAAGGTATACGTACAAAGTCTTAGGTTTCTTAAACCCAAGCATAGAGGAGAGAATGAATGGACAAATGGTATACTCTTTTCCATGTGACTTTTTACCCTCCGGAGGGTACATATCCCCAGTACGCTCTTGACTTGAAGTTGAAATGTATATAATTTTGAAGCACATATTGACCTAGTTCTATAAGGTTCTCTAAGTGAGGCATTAATCAAGTCTTATTTTTTCTTTCTTCCTCTTTATCCAGGACCTGTGCCATTCTCATTGTGATGAGTCCATCATCCAGAAGAAGATCACAACTATTATCAACTGCTTTATTAATTCCAGTATTCCCCCATCTTTACAAATAGACATTCCAATTGACCAAGCCCAGAAGATTATTGAACACAGGAAGGAGTTAGGACCATATGTGTTCAGAGAGGCACAGGTAAGAGATCAGGGAACATGGCTCAGCATATTTTAAAATAGACTGATAATCTAGATATTCTTTTAAAACCTTTTTCATTATTCACTTTTGGCAAGGTTCTAGTCTTCCTGGTTCTGAGATTTATTCTATTAAATTAAAAATTTTTTCACATATTACTAAAATATAAGAAACAAGTTACTTACTATTTTGATGATTATAATATACAGCAAATAAAATTATTTAAATACTACACTTTGTCCATAGTTAATCATTTTTATTTCTAACTTACAGAACTTCAGCTAATTCCTTCTTCCTTTCTCACCATTCATAATTCCTTTTCAAATATCTGCTAACATAAAAATATGTAAAATATGTCTCAAGATTTGTGTATTTTTAAGATTGAAATATTCACATAGCTCCTAAGAGGAGATTTGAGTACTTGACCAGCGTAAAGTACACAAGCTTATGAAAGGAAAGTCATGCCTGTTAACCCACTCAAATTACTTCTTCTTAAGATAAATAGTAGACACCAGTTACTTAGTGAACATAATTTATTTACATTTTGAAAAGCCTTTTAGTGATGTTGTTCCTAAAAAATGATTAAGAAAAATAAATTATAATAGGGGTAGTAGGGAAGACTGTGTTGTGAATTAAGTGATGTGAAACAGAGATGTGGAGTATAACTGCCCTTGTGCATGGAAAAGGCCATTATGCTTCATTTGGGAGCCAGCTGAGTTTTAGGTCCTCTAAGGGACAGAAAGTGGACTCACAACCCAACTTATTTATCAAAACAGGCAAAAATAGAGTAGAATGGTTGAGGATGTGCTAGCGAAACAGAGGAAACAAGCCTGCCAGAATTGTAACATGTGGCAATGAAAAGATCTCAGAGATCACATAGCCTAGCCTAGGCTGCCTGAAAGCCAGGCCAGAGCGTGTTCATATATATTAAAGCCTTGAGTCTGATTGGATGTCTGCAGGTGCTCCAGCTGGAATTTGTACATTGGTTGGTTCCAGCACACCCTCCAGGGATTGCAGTCAATGAACTTTCTTAAAGCCCTCTAGCCTAGGGAAGCTGATAAATCCAAGATTGGCAGGTGGTTGATCAGGTATTAATAGTTAAGACCAGTGGGTTCAAGTCCAAGAACTGGATGTTAAGTGTTATGCAGAATGTAGAGCCATCAAAAAAGCCAGACAGCTTTGCCAGAAAATCCATATATATTGGAAGCAGGCCACATCCCAGGGAAAACTCCCTTTCAACTGATTGGCTTCTCGTAGAAGATCTCATCATGGGGGATGTCTACGTCATAATTGCCAAACCACTGAGAATGATGGCCTCACCAGGCTGACACACAACCCTAACTACATTACATTTGGGAATGATTCAGGTTTGGGAGAATTGAAAAGTAGGGTCATTTGGTATATAGAGAAAAAGGAGTATTTAAGGGTTAAGAAGTTCATGGTAAAAACTATTGTGATCTTCTAACACTGGAATAGGAGATTACTTAATGAAATGAATGATAGATAAATATAAATGAAAAAAAATTTAGGCCTGCATTTCATTAAATATCTCTAGCTTATAAAATTCACAGCCCCAAGAGGCTATAGAATTCATTGATAAAGCTATATTTTAAAAGGAGTAAAACTGATGCATTTGAATTGTGGTGTTGGCAAAGAATATTGAGTATATCATGGGCTGCTAGAAAAATGAACAAATCTTTTTTAGAGGAAGTACAGTCAGAATGCTGCTTGGAAGCAAGGCTGGCCAGACATCATCTCATATGCTTTGGTCACATTGCTGGAGAAGGAGATCATGCTATGTAAAGTAGAGGGTAGGCAAAAAATAGGAAGACTCTCAGGGAGGGAGATGGACACAGTGGCTGAAATGGGCGCAAGTGTAGCAACAATTGTGAGGATGGTGCAAGACCAGGCATTGTTTCATTCTGTACATGGGATCACTGTGAGTTGAAATGGACTTGACGACACCTAAAACAACAACAAATAATTTTAGAATCATGATGACATTCATGAGGTGCTCTGGTGGCGTAGTGGATAAGGCACTTGACTGCTAACCAGAAGGTCAAGCGGTTCAAACCCACCAGCTGCTCTGAGGAAGGAAGATGGGGCAATCTGCTTCCATAAAGATTTACAGCCTCAGAAATACAGTGAGGATTGCTATAAGTCAGAAACAGCGTGATGGCAATGAGTTTTAGGAGCTCTGGTAGTAGTGCCTGAGGTATTTGACAGCTAACCAGAAGGCTGGTGGTAACCCACCAGCCAGCCACTCCTCGGAAGGAAGACTGAGTGATCTATTTCCATAAAGATACTGCCTCAGAAACCCAAGTAGGGATCGCTATGAGTCAGAACCAACTCAACAGCGGTGAGTTTGGTTTTTTTTTTTTTTTTTTGTAATAACATTCACGTACTGAAAAGAGCAGAGAATACCAGGAAGATGTTTACCTGAGTATTAATGACTACAGCAAAGACATTCGACTGTGTGGAATGGATCATAACAAATTACCGATGATAATACTGCAAAGAATGGGAATTCCTGAACACTTAATTGTGTTCATGAGGAACCTGTACATAGACCAAGAGGCAGTCACTCAGACAGAACAAGAGGATACTGTGTGGTTTAAAAACAAGAAAGGTGTGTATCAGGATTGCATCCTTTCACCATATTTATTCATTCTATATGCTAAGCAAATAATCCAAGAAACTGAACTATATGCATAAAAACATGGCATCAAGATTGAAGGAAGACTCATTAACAAGCAGCGATATACAGAGGACATGACTTTGCTTTCTGAAAATGAAGAAGACTTGAAGAATTTACTGATGAAAACAGAGACTAGTCTTCAGTATGCTTGGTAAAATAGAGGGTCAGCAAAAAAGAAGACCCTCAGGGAGATGAATTAACACTGTGGCTGTAACAACGGGCTTAAACCTAGCAAGGATTGTGAGGGTGCGGTTTTTTGTTTTGTTGTTCATAGGGCCACTGTAAGCTGGAACCAATGCAGTGGTACCTAACAGCAACAACTGAAAAGAGGGATAATGAAACGTGCCAGCGCAGGGCTCTGTTTATCACTGCAGCATTTATTTTTTAAAATTCCTCTTTTCCCCTAAGAATTGGCTTGGAGTCTAATGGGATCACTCATTTTTCTCCAGGGCATTAGGTAAAGGCCATTCCTAGCAGCAGGATTTGGACTTGTTGATCTCATGTGGCAAGTCCTACCTTCTTGGAAGTATGCCTCTGGAACTAATGGAAAAACTTGGCATGGGTATTTGAGCAACAAATCTTATCTCTATAAATATCACAATTAATCACTTAATATAGAGTGTCCTCATAGAAAGCATTTGTACCATTCTGCTTTTTAAATGTTACTTTTCTTGCTCTCACATAAAAGTAAGATTATATCATTTAAAAGTTACTCAAGATTTATTCTTAGATCTGCAGCTTTGTTTAAGAGCTTTTCCAGAGGCAAAATGGTATTTCCTTTCTCTAAAAGAAAGAAAAAGGGAGGAGGTTCCCCTTGATGAATTGAATATTTGGAATACTTGCATAAAACAGCGAAGTGTGTGGCAGATCAGCTAGTGTATGTTTTAAAAGAAAACATAAATTTCTGATTTAAAAAGACCTAATGGATTCTTTATTAATACAATCAATTGGTTAGGGAAACATAAAGAATAAAGTGACTTTTAAGTGTATTTTTTTTTTAAAGAAAGACTTCTCATTGGTAATAAAAAACACTGATGATAAGCATGTGCTGAGCTAAACTATACCAAGATGTCTGGAGACAATAAGTTAGAGGAAACATGCTGTATATTAAAGACAGAATAGTTAATCCATTATTATGGTGAATTAGAGTTTAAATTGGTACATTTGTATAAAATTGTAATCTGAGACATACTTTATTTTTTATACAGATGACAATTTTTGGGGTTCTGTTTAAATTTTGGCCTCAGTTTTGTGAGTTTAGGAAGAACTTAACTGATGAAAAAATTATGAGTGTTTTAGAGAGACGACAAGAATATAAGAAAAAGAAATTTACAATTGTGGATGACGAAAAATTTGTCAAGGTGAGATTCATTTTGGGTTTAACGAGACTTTCAAAAGTATGTGATATGTGTGAATTTGTAAAAGGCTCTGGGCTGGGGAAAATACAAAGCAGTTATAGAATACAGATTTTAGTGGTTTTTAAACCTTAAAGTCAGAGGTTTCAGATTTGTTTTTGAATTCCTCAAAACCCATCTCGAATGTCATCTCTTCTGTGTAAAGGCTTCCTTGACTCCCCGAGGCAGCACGACCAGCCCCTTTGTGTGCGTCACGGCAGTAATATTCCTCCCTCTCTTAGGACACCCCTGTCCTTTGATTAATGTTTTGCATCTGTTTTCCCCACTGGACTGAGATCCTCAAGGACAGTATCTGTCTTACTCATCTGTTTCTCATAAGCACTTATACTATGTTCAGCACACAGTACATTCTCAGTTGTTAATCATTGTTCATTGACTAAATGAAGGAATGAAGGAATGAGTATCATGTACTTAGGAGTGGTATTTCCAATATTAAAATTATAGAATGATACACTGACTGTGAAAGTTATAAATATGAGTCATTAATTGGCCAGCCTGCCTTTTTGTCTATTAGTCCATTCATTCATTCATCTATCTCTTTATATTTATCTATTTTATTTTAATTGAGCAGTATTTTCTCCCTAGTAGTATATTTCATTTTATTTATAAGATTGACTATTCTATTTTTAAAAGAAATGTAAAGATACCAAAAGATTCAAAAATAATATAATGAACACTCATATTTGTACTGGTTGGCATGTTAACATTTAGCCTCCTTTTTTTTCTCTTAAGAAATAAAATATTGGACCATTGTCTGCCAACCCTATACATGGTCTTGGGTACACTCCCCACTTCATAGACATACCTAGTTGTTCAGCCAGTGGTCCTGTAAGTGTATTTGTATGATCTGAATTCCCAGGTGTGTAGTAGAGATGACAAGGGACAAGGTTGTAGTCACTTCTTGGTCACAGCCAACTACCCAGAGGGTTGAACCTGTGGGCTAGGGACCATAGTCACAGGGGACATCAAGCTCAATTGGCATAACATACTACACAAAACATTGTACCACCTCCTACTTTGGTGGGTAGCAACTGGGATCTTAAAAGTTTGCAAGCTGCCATCTAGATGCAACGATGGGTCTCTCCTCGTCCAGAGCATAGAAGAATGAAGAAAACCAAAAACTCATGGATACAATCAGTCCTAGTAACTGATACACCATCCAATCTGCAGCCTATACGACTATGAAACCAGAAGAACTAGATGGTGCCCACCACTGTTATCCACTTGGAGGGGAGTCTATGTAGGAGATCTTGGATAGAGAGGGAGAACAATGTAGAACAAAACTCAAACTCATTTGGAAAAAAAAAGGGGGACCAGATTTGCTGGTCCGATAGAGCCTGGTGGAACCACTGAGACTATGGTCCCTAGCTGCCCTTCTTGTCTGGAATTGAACCCATACCTGTGGCTTCCAGCCAAGCAAAGCACAGGCATAGGAGTTGAACATTTACCTCAGTAAATACACTCCTTGGAGAGAACAATCATAGGAGAAAGAAGGGCTGTTTATGCACAGGGAGAGAGCTCAGGGGGCAGGGGTGCATGGAGGGTTGGACACAGGGAAGAGGTGACTGTCAGGAGGAAATGGGAGGGGAGCTGTTGCATTGTGGTGAATTGTGGTCAATGTCATGAGACAAAGTGTATGTGAACTTCAATTTGCTCTGTAAATTTTCACCCAAATCACACACAAAAAAAAAAAAAAGAAAGAAAATATTGAAAATTGAGTGAAATCTCTTTTAAGTCCTGCCCTGAGTTCCATTACTCTCCCCTTTCCCCAAAAGCAATCATTAAGTTTGGGATACGTTCTTCTAGCACTTTTAAAAAAGTTTTTTTTAATATAAGTATATGTATTCTCTGGTAGCATAGTGCCTAAGGCACTTGACTGCTAACCAGAAGGCTGGCGGTTCAAACCCACCAGCCACTCCTCGAAAGGAAGGTTGGGCAATCCTACTTCCGTAGTGATACTGCCTCGGAAACCCAAGGAGGGGTCGCTATGAGTCGGGGCCGACTCGACGGCAAATAACAACAACAACAACAAATATGTATTCACGAGCATTACAGGGCTTACATGCATTGAATGAACTTACAGCTTACATAAATGGTACCATTTGTGAACTATGTCTTTATAGATCTTGCTTTTTACTTTCAACATTATTTTCTTAATTCTACCCACTGGTACACTTAGATCTACTTCATTCCATTTAATGGCTGCATACTATTCTGTCATGTGAATAATGTCCTACTTATTGTCAGATATTTATTTTCTACTTTCTACCTTTACAAACAGCACTGCAGGCAGCATTTTTGTAAATGTCTCCATATGCACATGTGTGAAAAAATTTTGGAATTGCTGGGTAATAGGATACGTGCAGTTTCATTTTGTTCACTGAATGCATCAGTTTACATTCCTGCCAACAGTATAGAGAATACTACTTTTCCTCATTTGATAGTCCCTATTTTGTACATCCAGACTCTGAAATTTTTGCCCATTTGATGACACATAGTCTTCCATCATGCTAATGCACTTATTTGCATTTCTCCAGTTATTGGCAAGGTGAGACAACTTTTCACATGTTGACTGTTTGGACTCCCTGCTGTAGTAAGTTGATTGTTGAGGTTTTTTTGGTCCATTTAGGGGTGAGCTGTTTTTTTACTTATTCATTCCTAGGAGTAATTTATGAATCTGGATGCTAAGTCTTTTGTTATAAACATTCTAAAGAACTTCTCAGAATCCATTGCTTGCTTTTTGCCTTCATCCCAGCAATGGATGAGAGTTGAAGTTGCTCCACATCCCTGGCATTTGATATTGTGGTATTTTAGTTAGCCTTTCCCTAATGCATTTCCCTAACGTTAAGCATCTTTTTATATGCTTTTTGCCATCCTTACATCTTCTTTAGTGAACCGTCTACTCAAATCTTTTGGCCAGATTTTTTTTATGAGGTTGTTTATGTTCTTGTTAATTGAGTTTTTATAGTCTTTTATATATGCTGGATACATGTCATTTATCTAAAATATATTTTGCAAATCATTTCTCCCAGGTTGTGGCTGGATATTTTTATCTTCTTAACAGTGTATTTTGAAGACCAAAGGTTATTTTGACAATGTACAATTTGATTTTTTTTTTTTTAATGGTTCTTGTTTTTTGAGTGCTATCTAAACTACTTAATCCAAAGTGACATATTTTCTCTAGAGATTTATAGTTTAGCTATTTTATTTAGGTGTATGCTTATCCATTTTAAGTTAATTTTTGTATATGGTGTGACATACGGTCTAAATTCATGTTTTTTGCCTATTGGCATCCAGTTGTTTAAGTATCACTTGAGTATAATTAAAAAGACTATCTTCACTCTATTGAATTACCTTGGCACCTTTATTATACATCAGTTGGCCATACATGAGTACCAATGAATGTGATAAAAGGAGCAATAAACATACAAAATTCAGTACAGTGGTTACCTTTGTGGGTGTGGTGGAGTCAGAGGATGGGATTGAGGAGTAACCTAAAGGGCTTTCAAAGGTATTGGTAATGTTCTATTTCATAAGGTTTGGTGGCATTGTTATTATTTATATATTATATGTTATAGATATTTTTCTATGTATTAAATAACTTTTTTACATGAACAATGTTATAGACTAAATGGATCATATTTTCAGAGTTGATCTTTGGTTGATGTTTTGTATCATCTGGAGGTTGAGAGTATTTCCTGTGTACAATGGGAATCAGAGAAGACTTAAGAGCCAGAACATAGAAAGGAGTGCCTGCAAAAGCTTGCTTCTCAAGTCATTTCTTCACAATGTGGCTTCACATATTTTTGTTGATGTATTATAAATTGTATAAACATGAGGAGCATTCATAGTCATATACAATAATCAAACACAGTTAAATATAAATTATTTTTGGATTATTCACTTAAAAAGTTTTTCCAGTGATTGCTTTGGCAGCACATATACTAAAATTGGAACGATACAGAGAAGATTAGCATGGCCCCTGTGCAAGGATGACACGCAAATTCGTGAAGTGTTCCATAGTTTTGAATTTGTTCTGTAAATTTTCACCCAAATCACAATATTTAAAAAAAAATTAAAAATAAACAAGTTTTTCCACAATTATTTCTTTCCCAATAGTTTCAGTGATAAATAATTAATCTATTAATATAAAATCTGACTCTCTCCTCAAACCAACTATAAATCTGGCCCAATATGAAATTTAAATCAGCAAGGAACAGACTTTGTTAAGTGAAAATTCTCACATTTGCCATCTCTAATCCCTTGAGACAAGTCCATATCCAACTGAGCTGCATAAATATAATCTGAATATGTAGACTCAGGAAGACTATTCCTGAAGATATTGGAAGGTTTGATGTAGGGGGAAAAATGAATGTTATTTACTGCATGTCTGCATGGAGTCAGGGATTTGAACTGGTTCATTCTGGTTTGACTTCCTGTTGAGAATTTGCATTTCCACTCCAGATATACTGAATCAAATCGTTGTTTTAACAAGCTCCGCCAAGTGATTGTTACAGATCTCCAGGTGAGTCTTCTTCATACCTAAGATTCACTTGGGAGCTTATTAAAATGTAGATTCTGATTCAGTATATCTGGGGTGGGAATACAAATTCTCAGCAGGGTGTCAAACTGGACTGAATCAATTCAAGGCCCTGCTTGGAATTCTTTTATTGCACTGTGCTGCACTTTTTTTTTTTTTTTTTTTAACATTTGATTGTGATTTGGGTGAAAGTTTACAGGACAAATTGGTTTTCCATTCAACAATTTGTACACATTTTGTTTTGTGACATTGATTGCAATCCTTACAATGTAACAGCTCTCTTCCCATTTCTTCCCTGTGTTTACCATTTCCATTTGTCCTTTTGGCGTAGTGCCTAAGGCATTTGATTGCTAACCAGAAGTCTGGCGATTCAAACCCACCAGCCACTCCTCGGAAGGAAGATTGGGCAATCTACTTCCATAGAGATACCGCCTTGGAAACCCAAGGAGGGGTCACTATGAGTCAAATCGACTGGACGGCAGTGAGGTTTTTTTTTTTGTTGTTGTTCCTGCCTTCTGAGCAAATGCTACGCTTTTGATCTCATATAATTGATTGTTCTAAGGAATGTGTACCTCCCTGGTGTTATTACTCAACTTATAGGCTGGTCAACTGTCTGGCTGCAAGTTGAGAAACAGGAGTGAGTCCAGTTTCAGGCTTGATGGGTGTGTAAGAGCCATAGTCTTTGACTTCTACCAGTCTCTACCAGACCAGTAAACCTAGTCTTTTTTTATGATTTTGAGTTTTGTTCCACATTTTTCTCCCATTCTATCCAGGACCTCCTATTGTGATCCCTTTCAGAGCAATCAGCAGTGGTAGTGGGGCATAATCTAGTTCTTCTGGTCTCATGTTCTTAGAGGCTTGGGTTTGTGTGCTGCATTAGTCCTTTGGACTAATTGTTTCCTTTTGTGTTTAATTTTCTTCATTCTTCTTTGCTCCAGATAGGAGAAAACAGAGGTTGAACCTTAGATGGCCACTCATAAGTTTTAAGACCCATTGCTACTCACTAAAGTAGGATATAGAACATTGTCTTTGTGGATTGTATTATTCCAATTGGCCTTGATGTCCCCCGAGGCTATGGTCCTAGGCCTCAGGCCCAGCAACTCATTCCATCAAGTTATTTGGTTATGTGTAAGAAGTTTTCATAGCTTTGCCCCTGTATGTTCTACTATATTCATAGATATATTTGCAGCACATATTAATATATATGTAGACATATCCTCTTTCAGACTTATATTTGTGAGTGGAGTACCATTCATCTTTCCACACTTGTTCAGCTTGTGTGTCTGTCTATGTATTCACTCATAGATTGTTGTTATTACTATTATTGCAGGATTGGATATGTAATATTATTTACCTTTGTTGCCTTTAACTGTACATTTTATGAACATGTCTTCAGTAGCCTCTTAACAGAGCTTCTCACCCTAATCCTTTTCTTCTTTCACCAGACTTTTAGGGAGCATTCAGTACATATAATTACTATACTAGGTGCTAGGGATCTGAATATGATTTACATATACTTTAAAGGTAGACAGATATATAGACACTTAACTGCAAGTGATGTTAACAAAAAAACTTTTGAGATCACAGAAAAGGAATAATCAATTATTCTACAGGGAAAGGGAAGGGACTTCATGTTGTTGTTGTTGTGTGCCGACTTCATAGAAGATACAAATTTGAATTAATATTAAAAAAGAATTTGGTAAATGGTTTTCAATCGTTGTATATTGAATTAATGACTAGAAAAGTTAGAAGAATATAAGAAAGATCTCTTACTCTACCTCAAGGCTCTGAGGAAGAATGTCACAACTTTCTAGCTGTGGCTTTAACTATTTTCTAATTGCTTAGCTATATATGGTAAATATATCGTCCAAAACAAAACTTGGGCCATGTGATGAGAATAGAGAAAATATTAAATTGCAGTTTCCCCAGAAAATCCAAGCGGTATGCTTTTATGATTCATATAGTATTTTGGTTATGGAAATGCACGTGTCCTTAATTGAGCTCATACATTCATGAGTGTTAAAATGGTAAATATTAACAATTGAAAAGCAACCATTTTGTAGGATTAATAATCCTAAAGAAAAAAAATGAATTCTATTTTTGAATAATCTTTCATTATATACAATAAAAATATTGGTATCACTTATTGGTAACTGCACTTTTTTAACATGGAAAATGTAAGTTTAGGACGACCAATAAACTAGACTATGCATTTTCCCTAATGAGGAGTCTGAATGGATGTTCATGAAAATGTTTATAATGGTTTTCATTGGTTTCTAGAATTTGGGGATGAGTTTTACATTCTACTTCATAATCACCCTCTTATTTATTTTGAATACATTTATATTAATATAAAAGAAAATGAAAGATCAAAACAGTAGACTATATCATATTAATAATACAGACTTGATGAAACCTCAAGGGTATGGTTCACAAAATATTTTATGAGGTGTTTAACTCCTTAATTATGAGTTTAAATTAACATTTTATTATCCTTTTTGTGGAATAATTTAATTTAATATAATTACAGGATGGAGCCAAACAACATGGATATATTTCAGGGACAGTGTCCAAAGCAGCCGCTTTGATCAGTGAGTCACTTTTAGATTTGCAAGCATACGGCCGGCAGGTAAGCAGGAATGATATGACAGATGTCACTTCCTCTATAAAGCATTAGATATCGGACAGCAATTCAGTCTTTTACAGTAGTAGAGGTGTGTTTGTTTAAAATGAGACTACAATTACAATACTAGGCAAGACTAAAAAAAAGAGGGGAATTTCCTTGAATCTTCAGAGAACATTAAAATTGCAGCTGATTCTGAGGGAACTTCCTCAACATAATTAAGGGTATATATGCAAAACAACAGCCAACATTATTCTTAATGGGGAGAGACTTAAAGCATTTCTATTATGAATGGGTACCAGACAAGGATCCACATTATTACCACTTCTATTCAATACGTAATGGAAGTCCTACCTAGAGCAATAAGCCAAGAAAGGGAAGTGAAATGTATCTAGATTGGCAAATAAGAAGTAAAAATATCTCTATTTGAGGATTGTATGATTTTACACTTAGAAAATCCCAAAGATTCAGTAAGAAAATTACTGGAATTAATAGAAAGTTTTGGCAAAGTGGCAGGGGACAAGATCAAAATACAAAAATCAGTCGGATTCCTTTACACTAACGAAGAGAACTCTGAAAAGGAAATCAAGAAAGTAATACCATTTACAATAACCACCAAAAAGATGAAGTACCTAGGAATAAATCTAACCAAAGTCACCAAAGACTTATACAAAGAAAACTACAAAACATTGTTACAAGAAGCCAAAAGAGACTTATATAAATGGAAGAATATACCATGCTCCTGGATAGGAAGACTTAACATTGTGAAAATGTCAATACTACCAACGTGATCTATAGATACAATACAATCGTTGTTGTTGTTAGGTGCCATCGAGTCGTATCTGACTCATAGCACTTTTTTATGCACAGCAGAACAAAACACCGCCAGGTCCTGTGCCAGCTCCATGATCCTTGCTATACTTGAGCCCATTGCCACAGCCACTGTGTCAATCCATCTTGTTGAGCACCTTCCCCCCTTTCGTCGACCCTCACCTTACCAAGCATGACATCCTTCTCCAGAGAATGGTCCTTCTGACAACATGATCAAAGTAGGTGAGACGAAGTCTGGCCATTCTCACTTCCAAGGAGCATTCTGGCTGCACCTCCTCCAGGACAGATTCATTGGATCTTTTAGCAGTGCAATACTGATCCAGATTCCATCATCTTTTTAAAAAGATGGGAAAACTAATCACCAACTTTATATGGAAAGGAAATAGACCCTGGATAAGTAAGGCACTAAAGAAGAACAAAGTAGGAAGCCTCATACTCTCTGATCTCAAAACCTACTGCTCAGCCATGATAAGTTAAAACAGCCTGGTACTAGTACAATGGCAGACACATAGACCAATGGAACAGAAATTAGAACCCAGTGAATCCATTCACCTATGGATAACTGATCTTTGACAAAGGACTGAAACTCATTAAATGAGGCAGAGAGAGTCTCCTTAATAAATGATGCTGGCAAAGCTGGATAACCATTTGCAGAAAAAAATGAAGCAGGATCCATATCTCATACCATATACAAAAATGAACTCAAATTGGATCTAAAGACCTGAACGTAAAACCTAAAATGGTAAAAACTATCAAAGAAAAAAATAGGGACAAATTTAGGAGCCCTAATTCATAGCATAAATACACTATTGAACATAACTGAAAATGCACAAATATGAGAAGACAAAATAGATGACTGGAACCTCTTAAAAATTAGACACTTATGCACATAAAAGATTTCCTCTAAAGAGTAAAAAGGGAACATACAGACTGGGGGGAAATGTTGGTAATGATATATCTGATAAGGGCTAATTTCTAAAATTTATAGAAAACTCCAACACTTTAACAACAAAAAGACAAATAATCCAATTAAAAATGGGCAGAGAACATGAACAGACACTTCACCGAAGAAGAGATTCAGGCAGCCAACAAACACATGAAGAAATGTTTGTGATCATTAGTTACTAGAGAGATGCAAATCAAAACAATGACATATCTCACCCCAGCACTAATAGCAAATTTCAAAAATAAAACAATAACAAATGCTGGGGAGGGTTTGGAGAGACTAGGACCCTCATGCACTGCTGGTGGGACTGTAAAATGGTGCAATCATTGTGGAAGATGGTGTGCCCCTTCCTTAAAAAGCTGGAAATAGAAGTACCATATGATCTAGCAATCCTACTAGTAGGTATATATCCAAGAGAAATAAGAGCCATGACATGAACAGATAGATGCACACCCATTTTCATCACATGATTCACAATAGCAAAAAAATAGAAACAACTTAAAATGCCTGTCAACAGGAATGGATCAACAAACTATGACACATATGCACAGTGGAATACTATGCAATGTTAAAAAAACAATAATGAAACTATGAAATATCTCATAACATGGATGAACCTAGAGCACATTATGCTAAGTGATATTAGTCAATCACAAAAGGAAAATATTATATGAGAGTACTATTGTAAAAAGTCTGGTAGCATAGTGGCTAAGACACTTGCCTGCTAACCAGATGGCTAGCAGTTCAAACCCACCAGCTACTCCTCGGAAGGAAGGTTGGGCAATCCTACTTCCGTAGTGATACTGCCTCGGAAACCCAAGGAGGGGTCGCTATGAGTCGGGGCCGACTCGACGGCACATAACAACAACAACAACAACAACAACATTGTAAAAAGTCAAGAAAAGGGTTTCACCCCAGAAGAAATACTCTTTGATGGATTCCAGGGGTCAGAGGGGAAGGGAGGGTAAATCACTAACTAGAGGCTAGATATCCAAGTTAATAAACTTGGATGAAGTAGAAGGCCAAAAAAAAAAAGGTGTAGGGGGGGAACAATAAAGTAATTCATTTAACCTATGTACCAAAGGGGCAGGGAGGCTGCATCTTCTGACCTCCTCTAATCCCACAAGAGGAAGACAGAATGACCATCAGTAGCCCAAGGCCTATCCCTGTGAGGCCAGATGTGCTGCCTCCCTCCAGCCCTTTCACCAGCCCTGACACCAGCCATTCCTCCTGCAGCACCCACCACCTCTCTGCTGGGTTCAATAATTCATTGCAGTGGCCACACAGAACTCACAGATTATGGAGTTTATTAGGGAAGCAACAGGCTACAATTCAAGTTCAGGAACACGCTCAGTCTTTCTCAGCCAACAGTTTCAGTCTCTCTCCCAGCAGTGAGTGTCTCTGTTTTTCTCTCAGCAGTGTGTGTCTCTCACGTCTCCCAGCTGGCACTGAGAGACTCCTTCTGCCTCTAGGAGGGCTTCTTTTGAGCCTGGCAGAGTGACCAAACTAACCAATCCCAACATCAGAATTCTATACACCTGAGAGAGAGCGAACTTCCCAGAAAATTACTTCATGCTGCTCCCAACAGAAATACCCCAGGTGGATAAATTTAACAATCAGAAGCTACTCAGTTGCTCATAGCAAATTCCAACATGGAGTTTACAAAGACTTATGGCTAGAAAAGCCAGACTATGTAATTTACTACACTGGGCTATGTGAGGGCAAACTCATGAAAGATTTCTGAGAGGTAGTTTTGGCATTGTGTATCAAAAGATTTAAAAATGTGCAAAATTCTTTGACCTGCAATTCTACTTCTAGGAATTTATTCTAAGAAAATAATCATAGATGTTCACATAGATATGGATGTTGTGAAAAGATAAATACATTTTTATGGGAAAAAAATGTTCAAGTGATCTGGACAATATCAAAGAAAATAATTTCTTGAAATACTTGAAGAAAATTTTTGCAGAAGTTAAAATGACTATCTTTTTGGAAAAGAGAAAATAAGAATGCCAAATGCTTAGTCTCTATGTCTTAATTCTTTGAAGTGGTCATAAAATGTGTCAGCATGTGATCACCAACTAGGACATTTACAACTTTTATGTTTACATTTATAACTGGCACATTAATATGCCCTCCCTGAAATTTCATGAATTCATTTTATGCCCACTTTTGATAATTTGTATTGATGTTGTTTGCATCTTGGGATAATAGTAACTCAAGAAACAATCCTTTTTGGTATTTAGGAATGTCAAATAGATTCAGTTACCCAGATAAGATAGATTATGAAACCATTACCGAGACAAGAGAAATGCCCAATTTTGTGGAACCATGCATTGAAACAGATATACCTAAAAGTGTATGACCTAATGCTATTCATTGGCAAATGACTGACATTTAATTTCAGAAACATAGTGTAAAGATGAAGGGAGAAATCTAGAACTAGAAATACCAGGCTTACAATTTTTACTGTATCACTTGAAGCCTGCAAAAATAACTTAGTGGCCTTTGAGCCTGTTTCCTTCTCTGTTAAAAAGAGAGAGAGAGAAAGGAATAATTGTGATGATGTCCTGTTGTACAGATACCAAAATTGTCCTAAAAACCTAAAATTTTTTGGAAACTAAAGGCATTTTATAAATAGATATTAAGATTATAATTTAAGGTATACATTTTTAATTACTCTCACAATTTGTAAAATAATATTACCATTTTGCAAATGTCATGTTCCATATATACATTTGTTTCAGGCAGATTTTTCACCGACGTTCAACACCCCCACCCCATTTGGATCTTTCCCAAGCACCTAAATTAATAATCAAATTGTGACAGAATAACTGTCAAGATACCTACAAAGGTTTTGTGACATGAATTTACTGAGAAAAATAGTACATTATCACCCTCATATCCCCTCCCCACAACTAGGGGCCAGGCAATTTAAAAAATTTACATCAAGGCTATAGAAAAAATACTTGTATTTCATCATAAATATTCTTATTTAGAGTGAGAAAGATAGATCACTAATAATTTGGAGTACCCGATTCAAAGGTTAAATATAGGTAAGTTCAGTTTGTGAAAATTCATCTGACTGTCCATTTATGGTACGTGTGCTTTTCTTTATGTTATACTTCAATAACAAGCTTCAATGAAGAGGCTGATATAAGCCATTATCTTACCTTCCATGTCTTTGGGGACCAAAATTTACAGAATTAACTTTGAAAACTGTTTTTATATAGCCCACCTGGTGTTACTCAAAGTACATAGAAGCCTTAGAACAAGAGAGAATTCTTCTTAAAATTCAAGAAGAGTTGGAGAAAAAGTTGTTTACAGGTAATTTTTCTTTTTGCTTACAGGGTTGCTTTGTTATCTCCGATCACAGATTAATTTTAGAAGACTTTGCCAGTACTTAATTTACTGTTTTCCTTATTTCTCTTATTTTTATGCAGGCACACCATCTCTTACAAATTTTAAATCTAATATTTCAAGTATGTCTTTGAAAAAAGCCATGTCTTCCCACACCACCCAGAGTGAGTTGCTGGTGATAGTATATCTTCAGTTCTTTCTTATTGTTGGAGCTCTGACTCTTACCTGATCATCCAGATACAGAGGGTAGAAAAGAATAAGGACTGAGGCCCATAACTGCTCTGACCCAAAACTAGGAGAATTTCAGTAGGTGTAGGCCTCAGTCTCTCTCTGTCTCTTGTTCATTCTCTTCTGCAGAGGAAGAAAGACTAAGATGGATACCTAATATTTCTTCCCATTTCCAGAGTAAGAGGACCCACATGAGTGTTTATACGCTGCTGCTGGTGGGTGCAAGAGGAGTCATGGTCTGAGAATCGGACAGTCCCATCCAGGCCCCTCTAACATGCGTGCATGCACACACATACACACACACACACACTAATAAATGATGAGTAGGAACACCTTATCTCTCTTTTGAATGTCACAGTCTCCTGGGAAGTGAGGTCCCTGGAAGATGATAATTTATTGTCTCTATTTACTTATCTAGTCTTCCCTTCCACAGAGAACAAATATGGAAAAATGGGCTTTAGTTCAGTTTTCCCAAACTCAGCTTTTTCAAGTTGGGAATACAAGAAAAAACTGAAAATGAAAGAACTGAAAATGAAGCCAGTGACCAATCTCCCATTCAGATACTGTTGTGATTGATTTTACAGCTTTACTGGATTCTGACTTTAGAGTTTAGTGATGCCTTTACAAAATAGGAATAGTATAAATGTGGACTGTATGTAACTTAGTGACAGTGCCCTTGAATATCCCAGTGAAAATCCCTTTCCTCTTTTGTTGTGTAGCGTAACCTTTTGGTTTCTCAAAATCCTTAGTTCTCTGGGTTTTGGGAGAATACTATGAGCAGGCCTTAGAGTTCTTAGTCTGCTTATCTATTTCTCTCTTCTCCTTTACCCTAGACATTGCAC